CTAAACTAACTTCCTCACAAAAGTCACTAAATACACCCATAAACCTAAACTATTCCTTGCCCTTAGCTCCTATTGGAAATACCGTACTACCAAAACCTAATCCCATTATAAGAAATCAATCTTTCCATGGATTCCAATCTACTGGTTTACCGAGAAGAAGTGGAGAAACTCAGCTACCTTGGGCCACTCAGTATAGTATATTCATGAGAAATATCAACAATCATCCTGCTTTTGTGGGTTCGATGCCTAACTTCGATGCACCTAATATTTTGGCCCCGTTTTTACCAAGTTTGGTACCGATACCTCAAAATTTTATGGTGAATCACTCATATCAAAACAACAAATATTATGTTCCTTTAAGCAAACCAACTACAACGAGAGTAAAAGGGAGAAACGAAGCTAGTTTTGAACTCAAGCAGTCAGAATCAAAGTCTGAAATTGAAAAGCCTCCAAAAAAGTCTGTGCTAACTGCCAAAAGATTTAATTCACTCAAAACTGAAAAGCATAAGTGCTACTCACCAACATTTTATTCAATGCGATGCAAAAAACATGCTAAAAAGCGACCAGTTGTATATGCATTACCCAAGAAGTGCTTAAAAAATGACTTTCAAAATCTCACTGATAGCATTCAGATTTTAGAACAGGAAAAAGAAAATACACCCGTTCCTGCACCAAGATGCAAGAAACATAAAAAACCTGAAATCATTTATGCTAATATTTGCGACTCTTTGCAAAAAAGTCATTCATTCACTAGTTCCCCTAATAATAGTTCTAGCAGTGACAGTGGAGATGGGACAACTATAAATTCCACAACAGAAGTCGAAGTTCATATTTCTGGAGAATTTAATTCAAATGAAGCGCCAAACGATTGTCCCAAGCCTAAAATTATTGATCACTCTCCAAAACTGATAGCTTTATGTCCGAAAATCTCCGTTCAAGCGATGAAAAATTCCCCAGTCCTTAAAGTTAGTCCTAATTTTGTGAAGCCCAAAGTTGAGAGCCCCAAAGGTGCCTTATCGTTAAAGATACAAGCCAAACTGAAGACTTCGCCTGAGAATACAAAGAAGTTTTTAACGGTGACGAGTGAAGACAAGAAGAGAGATGCTGCTATTAATGATCAAACATCTAAATGTCCTAATCCTGACAATAACAATGCTGTTTCTAGTGAGGTTTGTTTTATATATGTTTTTTTTTTTTAGTTTTGACACGTTTCTACCACACATGCTATGCTTTGGTTAGCTCTGTTTATAATGAAAAATTCAAGATAAAGTTTTGCAATTATGAATTTTTCCCAAGAAAAAGAGGCTTCTTGCATGTGCTCAAATTAGTGAGAAAGGAAACAATTTGTATTCCATGCAAAATTCAAATTTATTGCAAACTTATCGTATTAGAGCGCTTCCGGCTTTCGCCATCATCAGTATTACTTGTCCCTAGTCAGGTTCCGACACAAAAGGTAAAATTGTAAAAGGACAACGAAAGTCAATGTTTCTGACTCTAGGCGTTCATTGAATTATTGTTTTTTCAATCGGAAATACTGTACTACCAAAACCTAATCCCATCATAACAAATCAATCTTTCCATGGTTTCCAATTTACTGGTTTACCAAAAAGAAGAAGTGGAGAAACTAAGGCTACCTTGTGCCCCTCAGTATCGCATTGTGGCGCGTTCGCCAGCATGTACAGAATCTATTTTGGAATCTAAAAAATACTGATTTATTGATTCGGGCAAAAAAAAAAAATCGCGTTTATTCTGGATTCTACACGAATAGATTGCGGATATATAAAGGCCGGTATTAGTTTGTTTGTTTTAAGTTAAAGATGTTTGAGAGTTGTAAAGAGTTTAGTTGTTGAGTTAATTAGTGAAGTAATTATTGTCAGAGTGTATAGTAACGTGGAATAAATTATTGTTGTGACTATTTCACTAGAGTGTATTACACCGGCAATAAATTCAGTATTCACCTGACGATATTGCTACCTGGACAGTACCACCAACATGGTATTTCAGCGACCATTTTTTGACATTGTCAAACTGGTATTTTTAATTTCAAGTTTTTATTCATATTTTTGCATTCTATTTATTTTCAAAATCTTACGTGAAATAGTCATGACGAATACTACTCGAGAAAAAAATTGTGTAGGCAAAATTGTTCTCAAGGTTTTATTCAAGTTTGTTGCTTTTTGGTAATTTCGCTCATGAAATTTTTGATAAAACCACTTGCCTGACGGCTCGTCGTTTTGTCAAAAATGTCATTCGCGAAATTGCCAAGCAACAAACTTTCATACCTTTCGAAAATTTTGCCGACAAAATTTTTTCTCTTGTGATATTATATATGATAATTGGACTTTGATTTTGGAATAAACGAACCCAAGATTTCTGTCACGCACCCCAGAGCCGTGACATTGGTGTCAGAAGTGAGACATAATTCGAGGACTGCAAAGTGAAATCCAATTGCAGAATAGTGTGTGGACAGTATAGTGAACACTGGGACATTTAGTCAGTGTAAGCAGTGACAATCACCAAAAGAGACTTAACCGATTGTGTAAATTACCCCGGAAGTGACTGTATATCCAAATTTGACTGTGATAGTGAATTTTCAAGTGAGTTCTAGAAAATTCTATTTGGAAACCAAGGGAGATTTCGAATTTCTGACTTCGCCGACGTATTCGATACATCAATCGTCATTCAGAAAAAGATTTCGAGGAATTTTGGGAAAATTCTAGAACATTCTATTTGGAAACCAAGGGAGATATTGAATTTGTGAATTCACCGACGTGTTCGCTATATCAATTCACATTCAGAAAAGACATTTCAAGAAAATTCTAGAACATTTTATTCGAGAATAAAGCAAGTTAACCAATTTCTGACTTCACCGGCGTGTTTGGAACTTCAAGCAAAGACGACAAAAAGATAAACAAGAAGAAGAAGTTAAACGACAACAAGAAAAACAAGATGAAGAGGTCAGGCAACAAAAAGAACGGCAGGAAGACCTAGGACAACTACAGAAAATATTTTAAACCATGAACGGATTTGTCGCTAACCTAGAACGAAAGATTACCTACGAAAGTAAAAACTGAAGTTGAAGACGATGTTCGAGAAGTTAAAGACGATGTTCGAGAGGTTAAAAACGACGTTCAGGAACTAAAAGCTGAGGTCAAAGCCGATGTTCAGCAATTAAGACAAGAAGTTGAGGACCTTGGTTCAAGCACCTAAAGATAAGGTGAATAAATTAGAAATACAGTCCATCAATCCAGTTAGTGTTGGGGCATTCTCTAGTATGAAGATAAAACCATCAACTTTTGACGAATCTACGTCCTGGACCATGTATATTCGACAATTTGAAGCTGCTGCAAATACCAACGGATGGATCGATCAAGAAAAAGCTGGAGCACTGATAGTGGCGCTACGAGGACCTGCCTTAGATCTTCTTCAGTCAATTTCTCCAATTTAGCAACAAAACCACCAGCATCCAAGTCAGAGGTTAGAATTGCTTTCGGAGACCATAACAGACAAGAAGTATATAGAACTCAAGTTAAATCAAGGATTCAAAAGCCCGGCGAGAGTTTACAAGAATGCGAATCGGAAGTTAAAAGGCTAGTGAGTTTGGCGATTCCTGCAGCTAGAGAAGACATGCAGGAATGGATGGTAGTATCTGCGTTTATTGATGGTATCAGAGATTCAAAAATCCAGGAAAACTTGAGAATTTCTGAAAAAGTAGTGAAGCCCTTGTCCGAGCATTAGAACTGGAAGCTATCTTTGTTGCCTCACGACTCAGAATACGAGCAGTGTCCATTGAAGACCCAAAAGATAAACAATCGCTTAAGAGGGAATTATTGAAGAGTCAAATAGCCCCTGGTCTGCGCCAGTAGTATTGGTTACGAAGAAAGATAGAAGTCTTAGATTTTGTGTGGACTACCGAAAGCTTAATGACGTCACCGATAAGGACAGCTTCCCTCTCCCGAGGATAGACAATACATTAACAACTCTATCGGGCTGGAAATGGTTTTCCACCTTGGATCTCAACAGTGGATACTGGCAAGTGGCAAATGACAATACACAAAGATGACACAGAGAAAACTGCCTTCAGTACCGGAAGCGGGCTATACCAGTTTAACGTAATGCCTTTCGGATACTGTAATGCTCTAGGGACCCAATTCTTGAAATAGATCCGTATACGAATCTGGTGATACTCGGAAAAAATTCCAAGCTAGGCGGATTTGTTCTCCCGTATACGAATTAGGCATCCATCCATCCTGCACGCTCCAAGAAGAGAAGAATGTCTGCAGTAATAAAGGTCGCAGTGAAAGTGAGGCCTTTATTAGAAGAAGAAGAAAACTGTTAAAAAATAATTGTTTAAGGCGGAACACGAATCTCCATCGAATCAAATTTATTTGAAAATTTTACGCATATTTTCGGAATTGAGACAAGGCAGGATGAAGTTTACAAAAGATGCGTAGCGCCCTTAATAGAGACGTTATTTGAAGGCTCTAATGCGACCATATTTGCCAGGATCGGGTAAAACCGATTCTATGATGGGAACTGTCCATAGCAAAGGGGAAAATCTGGGCGTCTTTCCTAGATCTTTCAATGAAATATTCCAGCTCGTGGAACTAAACTCCTCTTCTAGGTTCAATATCACTGCCAGCTTTATGGAATTGTACCTGTGTAACTTATATGACCTTATGCCTCAGAAATCAGGAAATGATTGTAAATTAGAAATACGGGAAGATCCAACGAAAGGCATCCACATTCCAAATTCAAAGGAAATTTCAGTCCGCTCATCAAAAGAAATTATTGATCTCTTAAGAACAAAATCTCAGAAACGAGCGAATACATCATCATCTCTGAATACCACAAGTCGGAGGAGCCATACAGTTTTTACAGTGAAACTTTCGAAGCAACATGAAGTTAAAAAAAAAATTAAACATGGCAGTGCAAAATTTCACTTGGTCGATCTGGCTGGGTCAAAATGACCTGGAGCCGATGCAAGTGCATCTTGGTCTTCATACACTTCCACTACTCATCGTCCGACTCGTCTGTCTGAAATTGACCAGGTGCATCTTGCACTCACACGAGGACGTGCAAGTGGTTTTCCTGCCAAAGTAGCCACACATTTTTGTTCTGTTATCTCTGCAGTTACCTCTGCAGATGCAGCCACCCGGTGGATGAGGAGACGTTGACGGCGACAGCGTCTCTGGTTCTGGAATAGCGACGCTTCCTGGCGATGCCACCATCAGAAGTTGTTCTTTTTTTCTCTGCCGTGTTTCGACTCCAATCCCATCCGTATCTTCAGTATCGATCACATCTACATTGAGGTCCACCTTTCTCTTTGAAGCGTCAGTTCGATGCCCGAGCTCTTGCACCATTCTTTTCATATTGGCAAATCGTTCTTCAAAATTTGCCTTGATTTCTTCTAACGCCTCCTCGTGCTTTCTTTTGGAATCCTCATAATGGTACTTCAGCTCTTGCACCGCTTTTTCGATGTTTGAAAACCGTTCATTTGAATTTGTTGAGAATGCCTCGATACTTTCCAGCATTTTTTCCTGCTTTCTCTTGGAATCCTCATTTTGGTGCTCGAGCTCTTGGACTTTTCGATGTTTAAAAATCGTTCATTTGGATTTGTTGAGGATGCCTCGATACTTTCCAGCATATCTTCCTGCTTTCTCTTCTTGGAATGCTCTGTTTCTTCGTCCTCCTCTTGCATTCTCGCCAGGAGTGTCCTATCATATCCGTTTCCTTCTTGAATATCTTGGCAGACAATATTGAAGTGCTTGGTCTGCTTCTTCGAGCTGTTGCCACCAAGGGAATCTTCCAAAATCCTAGTCAAATTGTTCTCCCTGAAAGAAACAAAATTCTTCTGCCCCTGAGCGCGTATCACTTTGCCCAGCTCAAGGAGCGCTTGATTCAAATCGACGACTTCTTCGAATCCTGTGCCAATACCATCGGTCACAGGTAGTTTTGACCTAGCCTGATCGACCAAGTGAAATTTTGCAGTGCCATGTTTAAAATTTCTCAACTTCATGTTGCTTCGAAAGTTCCACTGTAAAAACTGTATGGCTCCTTCGACTTATGGCATTCAGAGATGATGATGTATTTGCTCGTTTCTGAGATCTCGTTCTAAGGAGATCAATAATTTCTTTTGATGAGCGGGCAGAAATTTCCTTGAAATTTGGAATGTGGATGCCTTTCGTTGGATCTTCCCGTATTTCTAATTTACAATCATTTCTTGATTTCTCAGGCATAAGGTCATATAAGTCACCCAGGTACAATTCCACAAAGCTGACAGTGATATTGAATCTGGAAGAGGAGTTTAGTTCCATGAGCTGAAATATTTCATTGGCAGCTTAAGGAATGGCGCCCAGATTTTCTTCTTTGTTATGGAAAGTTCCCATCATAGAATCGGTTTTACCCGATCCTGGCTGCCCATATGCAAATATAGTCGCATTAGAATCTTCAAATAACCTCCTTATTAAGGGCTCTATGCATCTTTTGTAAACTTCATCCTGCCTCGTCCCATAGTTCCGAAAACGTGTACGATTTTCAAATCAATTTGATTCGATGGAGATTCGTCTTCCGCCTTCAATAATTATCTTTTGATTGTTTTCTTCTTCTTCTAATAAAGGCCTCACTCTCACTGCGACCTTTATTACTGCAGACATTCGTCTCTTCTTGTAGCGTTAAGGATGGATGGATGCCTAATTCGTATACGGAAAATCAAATCCGCCTAGCTTGGCCCACTCGATGTCAATTCGTACGAAAAATGTCACATACAGATTTCAAGAATAAAAATACTCGATTTTGTTCGAATTTTTTCCGAGTATCGCCAAATCCGTATACAAATCTATTTCAAGAATTGGATCCCAGCTACGCTTGAGCGACTGATGCATCTAGATTTACGAGGCCTCACATGGAGAACTTGCCTGGTATATTTAGATGATGTAATGATCATGGGAAATTCGTTCCAAGAACATCTCAATAACCTGAAAGAAGTTTTCGACCGCTTTCGGAATGTCAGCTTGAAACTCAATCCAAATAAGCGTTTTCTATTTCAAAAGAAAGTGGAATTCTTAGGTCACATGGTATCTGAAGATGGCATTCAAGTTATGGAAGGAAAGATAGATGCTGTCAAGGATTGGCCGAAACCACGCGACAAACATGAACTGAGGAGTTTTCTAGGATTCTGTTCTTATTATCGAAGAGTTGTAGAAGGATTCGCTAATATATCTGCTCCGCTTCATCGATTAACTGGAGAAAAATCAACATTCAATTGGACCCAAGAATGCGATTCCGCATTTAAAAAATTAAAAGGAGCATTATGTACAAGTCCAGTGTTGTCCTATCCTGATCAGAAAGGCATGTTGATTTTGGATACAGATGCAAGCAACACCAGTATTGGAGCTGTCCTTTCGCTAATCCAAAATTCACAAGAGCATATCGTAGAGTACTATAGCAGAACCTTATCAAAGCCGGAACGAAAATTATTGTGTCACCAGAAGAGAGTGGCTTGCCATAGTAAAAGCAGTCGACCATTTTCATAAGTATCTCAACGAACGTAGGTTTCTAATTCGAACGGATCACGCAGCTCTAAAATGGCTTTTAGAAATGAAAACTCCCGAAGGACAGCTTGCTAGATGGATTTAGAAATTGCAATAATACGATTTCCAAATTAAACATCGACCTCGAAACCTGCATAAAAATGCTGACGCTCTGTCTAGACGGCCATGCAAAGAAGACTGCAAGCATTGTCAAAGAATCGACATGCATGAGAATTTCACTGGTCTGGCTGTGAGAAGAACGGTTCTGATCGTTGATGATAAATGGACTACCAAACAAATGAGAGCAGATCAAGAAGCAGACGAGGACATCGGACAAATGCTACATCTTAAGGAAAATGATGAATGTATGCCACATTGGAGGGAGGTGTCGAACAAGAGCTTGATTTACAAGGCATTGTGGGCTCAGTGGAACTCTCTGGCCGTAGAAAATGGTTTACTGGAAAGAATTTGGGAAGGTGCCGATACTACTGAGAGCCAACTGGTTATTTCAAAAGATCAAGTAGAAGATGTATTAAAAGAAATACATGACGGAACTTCAGGGGTACATTTTGGAGTAAACAAGACTTTTGAGAAAATTCAGAAACGTTTTTACTGGGTTCACTATCATGAAGACGTTGAAAACTGATGCCGAAAATGCGACATCTGTGCTACCAGTAAAGGCCCTAAGCTAAGATCTCGGGGTTCCATGAAACAGTACAACGTCGGTCTCCCATTTGAAAGAAAATAATTGCGATAGATGCTGCCAGACCGTTCCTCGACTTAGAGCGTGGTACCAAATACATCTTGGTTATCATGGATTACTTCATTAAATAGCCAGAAGTTTTCGCGATTCCCAATCAAGAAGCTATCAAGATTGCCCAGGTGCTAGTGAACGAAGTTTTCAGTCGTCATGGTGTGTCACTAGAGTTGCATTCAGATCAGGGACGAAACTTCGAATCTGCCATCTTTAGGAAAATTTGTGAGATCATGGGCAAGACTACTGAGCAGCTGTTCACCAGTCAACAGGTGAAAGTCCAGCTAGAATCGTTTTTGGAAGGGAACTCAGGTTACCTTGCGATCTTATGTTTGGAATACCTGAAGAAGAACAAATAGTGCTAGCGGTACACCTCAATATTTGGGAAAATCCTGCAAATTGTGATAAAAGCAACAAACTTGGTAAACATGTTTTTGGGACAAAAATAAAACATTTTGCCCGCAGCACCCATCAAAATTCTCATGTGGGCCCATTTATGGGTCCTTGGTGGGCCCATAGTGGGTCATAATTTGGAAAAAAAAATTTATTGACCAATTTCAATGGAAAAAAACTCATTTTCGAGAAATTTGGGGATGCTGAATTCAAATTTATAGCTATTAATTATTTCCAAATAACGGCTGAACCCCGAACCCCTAGAGAACCTGTATATTTATTTTTTATGTTAACTTAAAATCAATATTGGTTAAGGGTCGGATCGAGCTCGGGCGATCTAAAAATAAAAACAAATATGTATTTGGATTTTCGCAAAAAAATAGTATATTGTGTATTTATAGCCCAGGATTATTAGGAGTGAAACAAAAAAAATTTCATAACCAGCTAAAAATTGGTATACATGTTCGATTTATTTTCTGAAATAACATGCTAAAACTCCCCGCGCTTCCCCCGCTTGCTTCATGAGATATTGGCTCCCCACTCCCTTGCCCATTCAAGGGCACGCGCTGCTTTCTGGGTAAGCGTCTCAGCCGGCCTACAGTGACAGTACTGACTACCAGAGATAAATACTATATAAACTGTCGAGAATGGAATCTCAGTGTAAATTTTGTTGAGAACAAAATTGAGCCAAGCCAGCGCCATCTACCATATCGGAAAATCACTATTTACTGGTTTTGCATCGATGCTACAGACACCTACTTTACAAAGGACTTTTTATGATAGATGGCGCCCTGTTCGCATTACTGTCGGTCTGTTCAAATTCGTTTATTCTGGACTTTGGGGCATTAATGTTTGCTTAAATTAATTGATAATTTGTTAATTAGATCAAAAGACAGTTTCTTTATCGATGATTAAGGGTATCCTTAACATATTTATTCAAAGTTCTGATTAATGTTTAATTGAACCTATCATTTATCTAATCAACAAAGATAAAAATAGATTTTCCAATCTATAAAGTTTGAAGTTCTTCTTGAAACACACAAAACAACTTTGAAAGCACTTAAGAACACTTGACAACACAAAGAAAGATGAAATGCAAGACCGGCGAACAAAAAACATTATGAATTATTATGGCGTTTCCGATTGGTAGATCTAGTGCGGAACTAGTGCAATTTTTTCTATTTTTGTCTTTTTCTTCTGCAGGTCAATTAAAAGGATGCAAATACACTCAGTGCGCACTGAATCTACCAATCGAAAACGCCATTAGTTATGATCAAATGAATATTTTGGCATATTGTCATATTTTGACATGTCAGTTATCGACATCGGACGTGTTTTTGATGTGCTTCTGGTATTTTCCAATTTTGACAATTCTGTGGTTGTCAGCGACATCTAGGAAAACGGAAAAGAGTTATTATGTGGTTTATAACTGGCAATGAGAGATCGCAGGGCCTGCTGACTACTGACAATCTCCTGTTGGGCACTGTTGACATTTTTATGTAAAGCAAACGTCATGAAAGCTAACCAAAATGTGTGCACATACATAACAACAGAAAAGTAGGTATTTCAAATCGCAAATTATTCTCAAAGAAATAGTTATTACTTTCAATTTGCAAGGTTCATAGCTCAAGTTCATATAGCAATGTAGGCAATTATTGAAATAATATTTATTCTCCCATGTTTTATAAAGCTCTATCAGAGAAATCATTTAAGATACATTTCACAAACAAGTAAGTTTGTGATAATAGAGCAGGCGCTACAAGTAGTTGAGTATGCAAAATATGAGGACCGGCAAAACTGCTCAAATTCGTGTTCCTGTGATCTTGAAGAATGGGAAAGTACATCTTGTCGGCAGCTGGAGTGGTCCCTAACTTTCCTGCCATTTCCCAATGCAAAGTTATATGGAAAATATCACAATTTCAAGTCATTTCACAATAATTCCTATTGATTGTACCTTAGGCTTTCTTTTCAAGCACTCAAAATAATTCTACCACTTGTTGGATATCTTTGCAATTCTGCTCCAAAATATACACAAGTAAAACAAGACTGCGAGATGTATAGGGTCATCCAACGACGACTGAACAGGAGCTTATTTTTGACCTTCCCTGTTTCTGTAGTTTTGAAAAAATTCAAAATAGCCAATTGGCATATTTTTTTCTGGAGAATTCAAAAACGGTACTAAATCATTTGAACTAAAAACTAAAGAGTTACGCCATGGTTTAACTGTTTTTCAAATGAAACACCCTGTTTTTTATATAATTTCTGGAAAAGTCGCATTTTCAACGTCTATTCTGTTGAAAATATTTGATATTCTGATAGCTGTTATTTTATTTTAATGTTTTATCTTTAACAATTTAAGCTTTATCTGTTCAATACATCTGTGATGGCGACAAAATACAAAATATGTCAAATTTGAAGATAATTCCCCAAGTCAAAACTTTAGTAACTATAGCCGCTTTCCAGCTGACGCTTTTGAGCACGCAATCGAGCTTTTGCGCGCGCAAATGCTTCAAGCGCGTGTTCGTTTTCCAGCCGTACTGCGCTTCTATAGCTTGCTAACTTTTGCGTTTCAAACACAGAACACTGTGCTGCACCGTGCTTGAAGCACACAGCTGGAAAGTGGCTTATGTTGGCATCACAAGCCTTTTCTACATAAAACATTTGAAAGCAGTGGCAATTTTACATTGTATGGCTATGAAAAGAGCAATGGTAACTTACGTCCACGACAAATGAGAATGTTGCCTTTGCCAGAATCATTCATTCAGCCTTGTAAATGTACGTCCAATTGTCGAACAATGTCGTGTAGTTGTAAAAAGACAAAATCACCGTGTATTTCATTGTGTAAATATCTATGGTGTAAATGCTTAAACAATGATTGCCTTATTAAAAATTAATAATTATTTATCCCGCTTTCATCTATTTCTATTTGTATCTGCTGTTTCTTTTTGTAAATTTTTTAAAATAGGTACATTTTTTTTGATATCATTTTGTGGTTGTTTTGTTGGTAATTTTGAATCCACGACTCCTGGGATTCCGGCTCAATGGTCTAGTACAGTTCGATTTGTCACAAACTTTCAAATAATATTAATGATAATATTAAATGCACCGCTGTTGCTATGTCACATATAACCATACCTCTTGAGCAATGGACGGAAACCCAGGGTCGTGAGTTCAAATCCTACTAGCAACAGCAAATTTCAACAAACTTTTCTATTTAAAACCCTGTCATCTTTTTCACCACAAAAGCAAACTGAATTGGAACTATAATAGTCGTTAAAATCACACACATAGCATACACTCCATGGAATTCCTTTATAAGTGAGAGCAGAAGGGATAGAAAAAAAATGGACCAAAAAATGAGCCGGCAAGATCCGGATTAATAATCTTTGAGCTTTTCTCAGCTACAATCCATTGATAAAATGCGGTCCTCATATTATGCATACTCAAGTCCGTCTAACTTCCGGTCTATAATGAAGTCGGAACAAATTCAATAGATATAGACCTGAATTGAGTGCTTCTAAAATGAGTCAAAAAATATCGTAAAAGTTCCAACCTACTATCCATTGTTTGCTGTCAAAACTAAAATAGAAATTATGTTTTAACATTTTCAATCGCGATTTTCTTGAAAACTGTTTAAGTTAGGTATAGGAAATTATACATTATAAAATATGCATAGAATTTCTCATAGAATCCAAAAATGTAATAATATAGGGGGTGATCTAGTTGAAATAAAGAAGTTGATGGCACTTGCGGTCAAACCAAAAGCGATAGTCGATTGTTTTTATAGCGAAATTCTGCATCGATATCAATAATATACATCCTCAAAACTTGAAATCGATATTGATATTCATGCCTGAACTAGAGCTTGGTCAGTAATCTCGTGGTCACCCGGTATATATTTTTTTTTTCAAATTATGACCCACTATGGGCCCACCAAGGACCCATAAATGTACCCACATGAGAATTTTGATGGGTGCTGCGGGCAAAATGTTTTATTTATGTCTTAAAAATATGTTCACCAAGTTTTTTGCTTTTATCACAATTTGCAAGATTTTTTGACGTACCGCTAGGACTAAAAAAGAAATTCGAGATTATGCCGACAAAGTAAGTCACGACTTCTGGGCACACATGATTTTGCTCGGGAGCATATCCAGCTGGCCAGTAACCGAATGAAGAACAGATAGGACTTAAAAGCCAATTCAGCCGGATTTCAAGAAGGTGATTTGGTGTGGCTTTATAATCCAACAAGAAAGAAAGGAGTGTCTCCGAAGTTATCTTCAGCATGGAAAGGACCCTACAGAATAATCAAGAGAATCAATGATTTGGTTTATCGAGCTCAGCGCAACACCAGGAGTAACATGAAAGTTGTAGGGACAGATTGACGAAATATCATGGGCGCGAAGTTGATCGGGACGATCAACTATAAGAGGAGGGCAGTGTGGCGCGTTCGCCAGCATGTACAGAATCTAACTTGGAATCTAGAAAATACTGATTTATTCAGGCACAAAAGATTATCGCGTTTATTCTGGATTCTACACGGATAGATTGCGGATATAATATGTACAGTGTGGTTATTTAAGTGTGCAACATATGAGGTTGGTGCATGTTAGATAATCATATTAGGTGCACTTAGAATGGTTGCAATTAAGTCATACAGCATACAGGGTAGCTCAAACAACAAAAGTACCCTTATTTTAGAAAATTCAGCAAAATGTTATCGAGAAAAGTTGTTGGGAATTAAAAGTTATGCCTAAATACCAAAACATGGCCTCCTAAGATTTTTTTTATTTTTGTTCGAAAAATAACATAAATTCTATATATTTTTTTTATTTCCGCCCTTAATATTTTCAAAAATTAATTCAAATTAAATCAATTTAACATAACTTTATTCAAATTCAAGCATATTTTTGTGAAATTAACTTAGATTTTTAATTTTTTATGGAATCACAAAGTTCATGTTTGTTGTAATGATATTCAAAACAACTAACATGTCGCAATTTTTTTTTTAACAAGTTAAAACATTAATAATGATAATATGCAAACTCTCCTTGAAGTGCGAAATTTTTATTTTATTTAAATAAATTTTGATATTTTTTGAACTACCCGGTATGCTGTTTGACTTGCAACCATTTAATTGCACCTAATATGATTATCAGGCCTTGTTTGTATTTTGGTTTTGGTGCTATTACTAAAAAAAATCCCATATGTTGCACACTTAAATAACCACACTCTATGAAGGCCGGTATTAGTTAGTAGTTTTAAGTTTGAGATTGACTGTGATATGATTTAGATAGTGATTATTCTTGAGTTATACAGAGTTTAGTTGTTGAGTTAATTAGTGAAGTAGGTAATTAATGTCAGAGTGTATAGTAACGTGGAATAAATTATTGTTGTGTTACCTACTTAATTGGACTTTTATTTTAGAATAAACGAACCCAAGATTTCTGTCACGCACCCCAGAGCCGTGACAGTATATTCATGAGAAATATCAACAATCATCCAGCTTTTGTGGGTTCGCCTGAGTCAGAAACATTTGACTAGAAAAAATATTTTACAAGAACATTTTAAAATTCACAATGCAATAGTTTAAAATAAAATACTAAATTTCTATTTGAAATCTTGACTCGAGATAATTATTTTTAAACTATATAGTTTTAGATGTTTAAAAAAAAGTTTTATGAAGTTTGTGACCTTTTATCTGTAATTCTCGTCATGTCGTTATGTTTTTTATTCTCATTGTCGTTGTCTTTCTTACAATTTTAACTTCTGTGTCGGAACCTGACAAGTAGTAAGCTATGTTTTCAATAAATTTGAATTTTGCATGGAATATAAATTGTTTCTTTCCTCACTAATTTTGGAATTTCGATGCGCTGAACAGAAGGAAGGAATTAATTATTAACAATATCAAGTTACTTTAAGTCCTAGAGCTAACCAAATGTATGGCATTACTACTGAAAATATGCTTTTTTGCTATAATTCCAAAATGCAATTTTTTCTTTTTGTGTTTTTTGAATAGAGATTAACCTATACTAACCATGTTTGTTGCAGAACGCCTTTTATACGCTAACCGCCCCCCATTGCAAGCAACCAATAATGCCCCCCCAGTATTCCGCTACCATACCCCACCCGAAGCACAACAAACTTTTACCAAAGGCCCTCTTCCAAGAACAATTGATGGCGAAAAGTAAAAGTTTCTCCAGCAAGTCTTCGAAAAATAAAAAGCATTTTCAAATACCTTTACAAAAGTGTCACAGTTTCAAATTTCAAACGGCCGAGAGTTACTTTCAGCCAATAAAAAATATTCATGAAGAAAATTTGATGAGAAATGGATACGTCAGCGACTATCCAGCTAGTTCGTCTAATAATAGTACGAGTAGTTTGCAAGAAAAATATCACAAAAGAGATAAACCACCAAAGCAGAAAAGCAAAGGTCCTCTAGTATTACGTCATCCCAGTGATCAGTTTCAAGAAAACATTCAAAACTCGGTCAAGCTCCAATACCCTCAACCACTCATACCCGGAAGGGGGAATAATAAAAAAAATAAGCCAAACGGAGTTATCCAATATGCTGATTTAGATATGACTGCGAGCAAGAAAAGCTCCCACGAGAGCTCTAGCTCAAGCTCTACGAAAAGTCAAAGCAAGAAGCCATCAAAACCAAAGACTGAGTACGCCACTTTGAAATTCAATGAAATCGGACAGGAGATAGATGTTTAACAAAAGGAGTGGTTTTAGGATGTAAGGATTTTGAATAGAGGTAAGAGTGGGGGAATATTTATTGCTTATTAATTTTACTAACATAATTCAAGGTGTATAAATGCCAATATTGAAATTTCTTATAGTATCTAAGCATTTTTATTAGATTTTTGATTTTTGAGAATATTGTCCAATACCTACCTAAACAAATTACTAGTGATATTGGTATTGGTAGAGAATACAGGTTTTGACAATAGTTCGATTTTTTTTTAGTTTCTGTAGCAGTTCGCACAGACTATCATCAGTTGGTCAAAAAATATCTATTTGAACAATAATTTCGAAATTATATTTAGGTACACGGAACACCTATTCTAGGGGTTTCAGTCTTTTCTAAACCTCTCTATTTTGAAGAGAAAATGGACAAAATAAAAAAGTTAATTTTCTAAATTTTGTTCTAGACTTACCGAACTGAACCTGGCGGTAGTGATACATATATTTTCTAAGGTAATTATTTAGTTTTGTCCTAGAAATTAGAGAATGTAATTGTCCATATTTTGTTTTTGATAACCCAGTTGTTTGGTGATTTCCAATAATTTTAGGAAATGGAACAAATTCAATATGTTTTTACAAATATAACAATTAGTTTTTGGTTTTTTTCAGCCATACAGACCGGACCCCTGTGATCTACTCTACGCCGACGTTGACTACAAATCGAACTACGGACCCATCGACTATAAAGCGGCTTCAATGTATGCTTCCATGAAAAGAAATAGAAACAACAACCAAATGGAGGAGATCGACAAGCAGGACTTGCTGTAGAAAATTGTTTTGCTTCAAAATTTTGTATCTATACAATTTTACAATCAATTTATCGCTTTTCTACCAAAGATATTTATTAGTTACATTTAAGGTGTATCGGTTTGCAAGTTGCAAAGCTAGACAACAAAGTTTGGACTTCAAAGTGACGTTTTCAGGAATTATATCTATACTTTACCAGTATACTGTACCCATACTAATTATTACAACTTTATCTCTATCCCATAACAAACTTATTGCTTTAGTTACGTCACTGATAAACCCATATTCGCCTAAACATTGTACATAATATAATGTATAAGCCTGGATGTACTGATACCTAGAGCCAATAAAATTTGTAATCAGTCCAAATTTTTTAATTGCAAAAATTAATAGATAATGCATTTTTACTTAAATATTATTGTTATATGTACTTAAAATCTATAGTTTAGATACTTTATTGTTAACTAAAACCTTTGTGAAGCTGTGTGTGTAAATAAAATTACTACTGTTAATACCTTTTTCTTAAAAAACAAAAAAACGTTTGAGACATATCGGAAAAAATTTGCTTTAAGTGATTTATTAATGTTTTATTTCAAGCTGCCAGTTTTAGCTCACATATTTGCCAAAAACCACAATTATTGGAAAGTTTATGCACGTTATATTTTTATATTTTGGTTAATATTGTAATTATTATTACACACTATTAATATGCATTTAATTATTTTAATTTAATTTGTACTTAGTGTTTTTATTAAAAGCTCAAAGTTTTAATCAAAAATAATCAGATTTTAGAAAACAAAAACCATTGAGGTGCCAAAATTTAATTATAATTGGTTAGTTTCATAGATTTTTTTTTTAATGAACTCAATATTTCTGTGAGTAATACGTCCATTATCATGAAGATTATTTCAACTTGAACTTGAAATACCTAGTAAATAAATTTGGTGTGGTGCTGCGAGAGTAAAAAAAAAAGAAATACATTTACCTATTATATTAGAACTTAATCTTGTATAAATCATGTACTTAGTTAAACTTATTAATAAAACGTTAAATAATGATTATTATTGTATCATCTTGTAGATATGTATCATAAAAATAGCTCTTAAAGCCATTTTATTTGTAAGAATAAATTATACATTTAATTTGACCGTGTTTTATTTATGAACTAAAAGTTTTTAGAGGGAGATTTTCTCGACATAATGAAAGGTGTGAATATTTTTGTGCTGAGCTTAAAGTTTGTACAGGGTGCTTGCTAGAATTTGGAGTGTAGGGATCCCAGGTGACATACTTGTGGTACCTAAGTACTTCTGAGGAGATATCAATGGGCTGTGAGCAGAAGTTGATGATCTTGACGGTTTGGGTTCTGTTCCTAAGGTAGTCGGTGATCCACGTAAGCAATGTACCAGAAATTCCAATTCTCTCAAGCCTCCCAAGTAGAACGTTGTGGTTGACACGGTCGAAAGCTTTAGCAAAATCGGGATACCGTCAACTGGGGCTTCTTTGATAATTGTGGGGCAATTTTGATAAATCATGTCTCAACTATTATTTTCTTGTATTACTAAGCAAGTGCAAATTTCTTGGCGCGCCTCAACAGGTCATATGTTTTTCAAGTGTCAGTCCCATAGAGAAATATAATAAACCAAGGTAAGAGTTACCGATTCATATGCGCCAAGTGGCAACGTATTTCTTGTAGCACATGGTGGCGCTAGTATAGCTTGGAACTATCTGACAATTCTGACATCGCCTCCCATTCTTATGTATGTCTCTTTTTAACAGATGTGATAATAAAGGAAGAGAAGACATAGGGCTTTTTATTTATTGTACATATTTCCAACCCTTAAAATGACATTTTCTTTTTTCAAAACTGACACCACAGACTGACACAAATAAGTGAACCTAAAATTAATTAGTTTATTAAAAATACATGATTCTGGTAAGATGTACAATGCGAAAATCGTTAAGTTCGTGCATAAATAATAATCATTATTGAATACTAACTATTATTAGTGAAAAGTGAGTTGTTTTGGCGGTTTTTGTTTTTTTTTTTTTTTAATTTTTTTGCAATTTATTCTTTACAAAGTTATATGGTGGGTTCTAACAGACATTTAATTTAATTTAGCATTTAGTATAATTTAATTTAAAAAGTTTACTATACAATACCATATGACGGCGTTCATACAAAATTTTAACTTTTATCTTTCAAAATTAAATTAAATTAAATTTGGGGTTGATCATTGATTTTCATCAGTTTGACAAGGCAGATGACGGATAATGACATTTTTCTATATCAGTTAAAAAATTACTGTATGAACGCCACAAAATAAAATTACATTTAAATCTTAAATTATATGTTAAGGTTTAAAGTCAACCCCTATTTTCTGAACCTTGTGTTCAAAAATTCCAAAAAAAATAAATGTTTTATGGTTATCGATATACTTTAATCCAAAAATTTTTTAAGCAAATTTGACTCGCCATTTTTGAGTTATATCGCAAAACTGAAAAAAAAAGTCGTTTTTCACCATTTATTTCAAAACGAATAGATGAAGTTTCCCATTATTTTTATTACGAACTACTATTGCAATTCTACGCGACATATAATTTTTTCAAATTTTTTGAACGTGTAATTTTCTCGCTACTGCAAAAATAGTTGGAAATACGCCCGTAGCTACACTGTTTAGAAAAAAATCCGACGGATGAACGTTCAAAATTATTTGCGTTGGTCGAAACTACGATTTCTATTTTTTTTTTTGACTATCAAGTTAAGGCACACTGTAGGGGCGACAGAGTAATAAACTATAGGCCTGACTTTAAACCTAAACTGGCAGTACTGGATTTCTGCTGTACGGTTTTTACTGAATTCGTCGTTTCTTTTTTTTTAACCAGCATGCTGTTTTAGGCAATCTCAATCACGTTCAGGTCAAATCATGGGTCAAATATTGAATATTGCGGTGACAAGCCGGTGACGTTCATAAGGAGAGCATTTGTGTTCTGGCCCTTATTGCTTTGGAAGTGAATTTTATATGTTTCTACGTATTTTTAATTGGTTTTGGTCATTGTGGTTTTCATAGTGAATTTTATAGTCTTTAGTATTTCTACGTATTTTTTAGAGTTCTGGCCCTTGTTGTTTTCAAAGTGAATTTTATAGTATTTATAGTGTTTTTACGTATTAAAACTGGTATTTTCCTGTTTCTGACTACCCCCTCAACCTTTCTATGTTAGTATGAATTCAATCCTATGTACAGTAGTTTTTGAATAATCATGCAGTTGCCTATGTACAGTTTTTGAATAATCGCATACAGTTTTGTATATTTTCGTATGGTTCTCCATTTGTGGGTCGAGGAAAGGTTGAGGGGGTAGTCAGAAACAGAAAAATACCAGTGGCGTACACTCGACCGACCTTCGAATGAAGAACCATACGAAAATATACAAAACTGGTATGATTATTCAAAAACTGTGTTCCCGGAACGCGTCATCCAATATAATTATAATTTTGAGGATTTGGGTAACTCTTTGTGCCGTTTCTACCACTGTCATCCAATTTCTCCACTTTCGCTTCATTTTTGGTCAAGTGACTTCAACTTATTTCGAATCTTAAATGTAACTCATGGTATATTATGGCATTTTTCGTTAAAAAAAATAATTCCAAATTCGGCAATACCATATTTGTTAAGGCTTTGTTAAAGAAAATGATAAAAAATTATACAGTGGAACATACGAGAATGCGTTCCGAAGTTATCATTTGGGAAAAACCTCGTGGGACACCCTGTATATTCCCGGCAGAAACATGATAACGCCTGACGTATTTTCTAGAGCACCACTAAAATCCAGTGATTATGGAGCGGATATTTTATTCGTCAACGAACTCATAGAAAAAGTGGAAGATTTTGCAGATTATATTCGTGAATCAATGCCTATCAAGCACATGCGGATAAAAAGTATCTTGGAATGTCAGAAGAATGATGTCCAAACTACTCCAAACCAAACGAATAACTTAGGTATATACAAAATGGTTAGCCACACATCAAGGATTTACCAACCGAAGATAAAATTTTCATACCATCAAGGAGAGATGGTTATATTGGATAGCTTAGTAACCCGCAACAACAGAGTATTCATCCCGACGACATTACGCAAGGAAATATTGGACAAATACATGAGGGTCATTTGGGCATGACGAAATATTCAAGTCTAGCCAATGAAACGGTGTGGTGACCCAAAATCTC